TTGGTCAATTTCAATAGTTATTGATGGAAATATTTTTTCATGGGTTTCCGTGTGTATGGCGAAATTGACGTTTACCAACATCTACCAATAAAAATTGAATCCTTCCAACCCTACTGTTTTACAGGTCCCCATCCTCCCAAAGAGGAGGGTTTGGCCCACTGAAAATCCCCCAAAATTGCTTTTATTATCTATAGATTATATTCCAGACATACTTGGGCATCTCCATCGGTATCAGGGCCTTTCTGTGCTAGGCGCTCTATGGACACAATGCTCACCTTACAGTTTAAATAGAAAAGATGGACCAAGGGGAAACTGAGGGGGTAAGGACGTGTCCAAGGTCAATTGGCAGGTCAGTGATTGAGCCAGGATAAACACCCTGATCTCCCAGCCTGCTGCTCTATCCACTAGGCCACACAGCCTCCTACAGGGTAACAGCACTAAAACCCAGTGCAGTAAGAACAGCCTTGGTTATTTCTCCTCTTTCAGGCTTTTGCTGGCTCGTCTGCTTCAAGGGGACTCAATGTTTCACCAGCGATGGTAAGTTGATGCCAAGAAACATGGACAAAATCCTCCAGATCCGAACCCGGGTGTATCCTTTCAGCCTTGCCTCCCCAGAAATGTGCGTCTTATACTCCTCAGTAGACTCTTGGACAGTATAAGCTCATAGATAGTCCAACCTTCCAACAAAGGGTAATGTTTATGCACCAGCCTTTGTTATCTCCAGTAGAGGTTTCCCAAACACTTCAATGAAATAAAATGGTTTAAATAAAACAATAAAATGTGTTTATTACCGAGAGAGAGAGAGAGAGAGAGAGCGAGATTTTAAATGGAAAGGCTCAAAAGTCAGAATTGGTTACAAATGAAATAAAAAGATAAAATCTCAAGCTAATTTCTAAACTTGACCAAACTAAATAAGATTTGAAGCCAACATCCTTCTCACCACACCAGATGCTGCAGGCAGTTCTCAGTTCACAGGCTGGATTTCCTTCCATTCTGGGACCACTCCCCTTAGTTCAGTGTTTTTCAAGGATTCATTGATGTTATAAGCAGAGAGAGATAAGGTAGACAAGGGAGATGGTTACAGGCATTTTTGCCCCCTCTTTACATGCCAATCCTTGGGTGCTGGAAATACCCTTGCTGGGTCCTGTGGGCAGGCAGTATGTGAGTGCCAAACTGTCTTTCAGCTGATTTGTACATTTCCTGTTGAGAACTTCTCAGTTGGTGAGTCTCTGGTTAGCCAGGGGATAATTGTTTAACATGTGGCTGGCTTGCCAGTGTGTTCTTGTCTCTGAGGAACTGGCTTATGATTACTACAGGGGAATTACAAAATATTTCAGTAATAATCCTACAGCAAAATCTCATAATTTCACATGCAGTGTTTGTTACACACATTTCAAGAAGATAATAATATTCATCAGATTATGAGTTTCCAAATGATACCTCACAGGACATACTTTGTACAAAATAGATCATAGCCATATAAAGTGGTGAATATGGGCTACAGGGACTCACAGCTACGCTTCCCATGTCCTCCTGTTTCACTGGCTTCAGGGGAGAGGGATGGAGGCCTTTTCTTGATCCTTTGACTGATGTCTTGAGAAGAGTGGCCAGATGCCTTGGTCCTCCCACCTCAGCCACCTCCTCTGTCATGGCCACACTTTCTCCCTCTCTGCATTTTAACAAGGTTAATGAATGAATGTGAACCACGTAGAAGAAGTCAAGCAAAAGGTGCAAAGAGTTATCCTCTGCTCTCTTTAAACCACATAGTTCTTTCTTGCTTTCACAGTCGACAGATGTCAGGATTCATTTACTTGTCCTGCGTTTGCAAAATGTGAAAACGTTCCTGGGGGCTACCACTGCACCTGCAAACGCGGGTTTGCATCTACTTCTGGGGAGCAACACTTCACTGATCCAACAGTGAAGTGCGTTGGTGAGTATCAGCTCCGGAGCCCAGCTAAGTGAGAGGGAACTCTGTAATGGAGCGAGAGTAATGGGTGTTGCTGTAATGCCATTGGGACCAGCTCCTGCAGTTGCCAGAAAAGTTATGTATCAGTGCACTCCACTGACTGGCGAGCATGCTGCAGTGATTAAGGGTATGTCTATACTTCCATCGAGCTAGCATGCTAACAATAGAGGGAAACAAGCATCTGGAAGTGGTGGGATGGAACTGGGACTGGAAACCAGTGTGTGGAAGTAGATTGGGGAAACGGATCTGTCCAGGCAACAGGATGCAGGGAGAAGGTGGGACTGGGCAGATAAAGAGACTGGGTCAAGGAGCTGGTCTGGGGGAACAGCAGTGAGATTGGACTAAGTATCTGGGGAGGGACACTGGGACTGGGACTCAGTGGGACTGGGGAATGTT